CACGATCAGTGGCGGTTTTACCATAAGAGCTGCGGAGCTGCAGAACACATAAAATTTTATGTATTTAATCATATTAAACATCAACAAAATATTTAAAGAATCCAAATGTACTCGCGCTAAAATAAATCTGGGAGCTTATATTATTATTTATTACGACGCGAGCTACGCCCCTTAATAACCTTAATATATGCAACCTCATATACAAAATGTGCTCACAGCGAGCAATTAGATGCGTCCTTTGTTTTTATTGGCTAATCAGGCACGTGACCCAGTACAGGCGTAAATGGGAGTTATGTGTCGCTAATACCGACAGCGCCAAGCTGCTGAAATGCAGTAATATTTCGTTCGTGGTATTTGGCGGACACGTGTGAATATTTTCGTTTGGGCGTCTACGGATATTATATTATTAAAATGAATAGTGTTTCGTTTTTACAAAAAACTTTATTTGGTTTTCTGCCTTATGAGGATAAACTAAAAATAAAAGAATTAGGTAGGCCAACACCAGAATTAAATATTGAAGTTAGTGCAACAAGCCGTAGTAAAAGTTACAAAAGACAATTTAACAATAATGTATACGCAAAAACAGTGGATGTGCGGGTGTGATTTAAAAAANGAAATTGGCCTCAATGATTTGGGATCGAGGGGGATTATCCCTCTTTATCCTGCCTCATCTCGTGTAGGCCTGGACAGCCTTCGTAGGTGGGCCCCATCCGTCGTCTACCCCGACCGCAAATGCGGCCGGTGTAGGCGCTTTGTGGGACCTCCTTTTGTCCTGGCTGGGCCCCGCCGGCTAGGGCCCTTTCTTCTGGCGCTCTTCTTGCTTCGCCGGCTCGTCTGTGTAAACCCCGGGGGTAGTGTCATGTTTATGTGTGGTATGGTTGGGTAGGGTAGTGCGGCTATGCAGCCTGGGATGCTCTTTGCTAAGGTGGCCCTTAGGCTAGCGCGGGAGGGGAAGGGTAAGGAGGGTATGGGGGTGTGTATGTGTGTGTGTGTGTGTGTGTCGTTGTCTTCGTTTCTTGATCCTGGCTGTTTCTGAAACACAAAAGGTTAGCGGCAGGGGGAGGGGGTGTCGTTGGGGTGGTGACTTAGGGCAAATCACCGGCCCAACGACAAATCATCAGCGCACCTTACTACGCGTTCCCATACTAAAGCGCAGATCTGTCAAAAGTAGGAGAGTGAAACGAGGAGCTCCTGGTTTTAAATTAAAAATAAATAGTGCTATTTATTAGCTTGTGATTACGAACGATGGTGAATATGTAAAATGGATAATCCAAGAGCAGTATTTTCCCAAAAAAGTTTAACTAAAATTCTCTCTCCTCATGAATTCCAAGAGATGCTGAATTTGTGGTTTCATGAAAAAGGTGTATTAACAGAACTGAGAATGCATTTACGGTTTAAACTTGTTAGTCTTTTAAAAGACACGACAATTGGAAGAAACATTAATCAAAACAAATCACACTCCACCAATTTACCTAATCAAGTTTTTAACTTGATAGTAGCGGAGTATTTGATGCAGAATAAGTATTACTACTCTTTATCCATTTTTAACACAGAAACCTCATTTACCAGTGTTCTGCCGGATTATTCAATTCGTTTTAATGAAGAAAAGCAGAATGAATTTTGCAATGTATTTTTTGATAGAGAAAATATTTTTAAAATACTGGACTTGATTGGCTTGACAAAAAGTAACCCACTTTATGATGAATTACTAAGTATTTATTTTAATGCACAAGAAAATAATTCAATATTATCTTGTTTAATAACCTTAATGTGTCGACCTCCGAAAGTAATTACAGAAGTAAACGATGGAAATTTGTCTAAAATTATACATGCCATGCTTACGGGTAAGAATATAATTTTTATTTATTTAGTAATTGCAAAAGAGCAAAGGTACTTATGTAAAAATTAAAGTGAAATTATATCCAAGCATTGACATTTTTATATTACCTTAAACCATAAATATACAGGGTGTTACAAATTAGTAGGTCAAGCCATTAATCACGTATTCTATGGACTAATGAGACTTCTCTTTTGCCATTTTTCATTTTAAAGCCCCATTTTCAAAATACGGGGTGTCAAAATCAAAACTAAAAATTATATTTGGATACCTCCTGTAATTTTAGAGATATTTGTTTGAGATTTGACACATTTTTATCTTATGTCGGCACATTTTCTGTGTAATTTTGGCCTAAAATATCAGATCACGAATGGAGGAAAGGGGGGTTGTAGTACCCATGGACCCCTTCAATTTTTTTTAGTAGGCCTATGGTTTTAGAATATTTTTTTTTAGATAGAGCATTTCTTTATTTATCATAAGATTTTGATTGGGGACTCGAGTTTACGAGATATTGCAATTTTTTGTATACGTGACATCAGTTTAGTTGACGTTTTGACTTCAGCGTCATCTCCAATTTGCTCTGAAAAAAAAAGTTGCACTGCTTGACGAAACCATCGAACAGTTCTATCTTGTTTTTTTTTCAAAATCAAAATATCTCTTCATTGCTAAGATAACGAGACTTGAGGACTTTTATGTGGAACACCTGGTAGAGATGTTCTGTCATTTTCTGAAATAACATATACTTAGTTATGCTGTTGGGTGATGAATATTCATAATACCCACTTATGGGCCGATGAAAATCCAAACAATTGTAGAGACACACGATCAGACATACTTTAAACTAAACATATGGGCAGGAATAGTTGAAAATTTTTAGGTCAAGTTTTTTTTTACCACCGTGTATAAATTCTAATGAATTCTTATTTGTTTTACAAAACTCTTTCATGGCCTTATTTGATGATTTGTCTCTTGCAGTTTGTCAAAATATATGATTTCAACTTGACGATGCTCTTCCACATTACTATCAAAATGTCCATTTAAATGAAATCTTTCCTAATTGGTGCATTGGCAGGTGACGGCTTGCACCTGTTAAATGGCCAGCTCATTTCTCCGATCTCAACCCATTGAGCTTTAGTTTATGGTATTTTATGAATGATTTCGTTTATATGGTTTCAATACTAAGTAAACAACAGCTAAGAGAATGAATTGTACAAGTGGAGAGCACTTTTGGCTTAAATCACATATTTTTCAGAATATTCGTTACTCTGAATAAACGAGCCCGAGTATCTATTTGTGAAGATGGTACATATACTGAACATTTAGTTTAATTTAACTGAATTTGTATTTTTTACTATCTATTGGTTAGTTGTGCCATTTTATTTATTTCAATTTTACTGACTAAAATAGGAATGACTATTTGATACTTACTATTTTTTTCACACTTGTAAAATTTTTATGAGGGGCCTCGTTTACGAGATACTTATTGTAACTTTTTTGAATACATCAATTTAAGAGTATCAAGGATCGAAGAGAATGGGGGAATGTAGAACATTTATTATAAATTAGTAGACTTTTATTACTGCCACCTTTCAGTTTATATGTAATTAATCATGTTATTTATTATGTTTATTATGGATACGTAGTTATTTCCAAAAAATATGGGGTATGTATTAAGAAATACTTAGAAATATATAGGAATATAGGAACATAATCACTGCATACTTCTTGAAGACAAACTAACCAACAGCAAATTTTGTTCAAATCGGTTCACTGAGTTCTGAGTTAAGGAGAAAACAAGAAATAAAAAAAAGAAACTTTAACACCCTATAACTTTTGTTGCGACATTTTTCGTTTAAGCAAGTTTAGTTAAATCGACACCATTTGGGTTCTAGATTATACTCTTGAAGTATGTAATATTTGTTGCATATGCAATTTTAGAAAATCGGTGTTACTAAATACTTTGGAAATTCGATAAAATCATTTGATTTGTAATTGTATTTCAAAAGGAAAACACTGATATAATTTGAAAAATAGCATTTTTGAGTTATTTTTCTTTAATCGAAAATAAGCTTATCAGTTGAATAATAAAAAATGATTCTAAAACTGTTTGATTGACAAAAAAAAATGTAGTAGAATTTTAAATACAAAATAATCTTTAACAATTCGGAAGATTCAGTATTGTAGAAATTTGACTTCTAACCCTCAGAAAATTTAAAATTTCTGCTCTATTTTTTATATTCTTAATAATTACATAATGCAGAGAAATATATTGTAGTTACAAATATTAAAAAACAGTAAAAAACATTCATGTATACAGCGTGTCCCAAAAGTATGGAAATGGCACAATAACTTTCGAAAAATGCATTTTGGGGAAAAATTATTCAGACAAAAGATTTAGGATTTTTCCCTGGCTATTCAATGGTGACCCTAGATTTGATCTTGACGTTCAAGGTTATTTGAAGGTCAAGTTAATTTGTTCAATTGGGATGCCCTACTTTTGACCCCGGAAATGAAAATAGCGGAAAATTTTACGTTCAGATATGTCCTTGACCATTTTCCGAATTTGACCATTAAAGGTCAAATCAAAGTCACGCATGGTTTGGCGCGCTGTCTTGAAAACAACGGGTTGCAAAAAAAATTACCATAAGTAACGTAGGATTTTTCCCTTCCCTGGCTATCTGACGGTGACCCTTGATTTGACCGTGGCCTTCACTTTCAAAAACCGCACTATATCAATTTTGGCAAAAATCGGTTGATTTTTGAAATCGCGTCCGCCATCTTGGATCCGCCATCTTGGACTAAAATTCCTCAAAAACAGATTTCAGATTCGTAGTCAGCGACCCCAAAAAACCCCCCTATATCAAATTTGGCGTAAATCGGTTAATTTTTTGGAATCGCGTCCGCCATGTTGGATCCGCCATCTTGGAAAATGGTCAAGGACATATCTGAACGTAAAATTTTCCGCTCTTCATTTCCGGGGTCAAAAGTAGGGCATCCCATTTGAAAAAATTTACTTGACCTTGAAATAACCTTGAAGGTCAAGGTCAAATCTAGGGTCACCATTGAATAGCCAGGGAAAAATCCTAAATCTTTTGTCTGAATCATTTTTCCTCAAAATGCATTTTTCGAAAGTTATTGTGCTGTTTCCATACTTTTGGGACATATTGTTTAGTATCAATGAATAGGACGAAATGGCCCTGTACGTTGGCCAGCACGAAGTCCGGATATGAACCCTCTGGACTTTTTGTAATACTAATAATAATAATAACTATTTTCCTTTAAGATATGCACATACATAGGAATAGTCAATTAATCACTTAAAACTAAGACAACAAAAACTCATTAAGATCATAAAAACATCTATCAGTTTTAATCTATATTTAAAAGATTTAAAAACTTGGATTTGCCTAATTTCCATTGGTAAGTGGCTAAAAACTTTCAAACCTAAACAATTAGGAGAATTTAAGGATATTTTGTATTTATAGTACGGTATATGATAATCATCTTTCTGCCGGGTATTTATTCCATGAGTAGTACTTTTTGTTGGAAAATTGTAACGATTTAAATACACATAGGTACACAATTCAAAAATAAAAATTCCTGTGAGTGTTGGCACTCCATACTCCTTAAATAAGCCTTTATACGTATGATACCTCGGGACACTGGCTATACATTGTAACATCTTTTTTTGAGCAATAAATACATCTGGTGGTAGAGCAGAATTGCCCCAGAAACACACACCGTACCTCAACCGGGATACCACTTGGACATTATACAAATTGATAAGTTGTTCCTTACGAAGAATTGGGTTTAAGCTTCTAAACAGATAGCACAAAAAATTTAATTTTAATATTAGTTTATTACAATGTTCCTTCCAATTTAAGCACGCATCTAATCTAAAGCCTAGAAAAGTTATTGCATTGTCGGTGTCTGACAAAGAGGTATTGTGCAGTTTAATATTCATTTTAGAATAATGTTTCTGATAGTTATGAAATCTGATAATTGATGTTTTAATTTGTTTGGGGGTGTATGAAACAAAACGTGTACTGAACCTATTCCGATGCATTAGATCTTCAACAGTGTATTTTTGCTGCCGGTAATGAAATGCGATAAATGCCGGGAGTATTTACACCTATGCGGATTAATTTTGGCCGTCGTTTGAAAGCATCTATTGGTAAGTAATTCGTTTATTCGTTTAATTTTTGTGTTGCTTTTAAACGAGATTTGAATAAATTTCAGCATTTTAGAACACACAAAATTTAAACCATCAAAACCGCCAGCAGTGCAGCGCGTGGCAACTTCCATATCAAAGGTACAGCTGGTTGCCACACCAGGGACGGCTTTAAATTCGTTTAAACCTTTATGTGAATTTTATTTTTCAATTTAAAATGTAATGTTTTAGACCATCAGTTGCTTAATAAAAGTTGCTCATTTTCGTACCCTCTATCACCCTTTTCAAAGAAAGCACTTATTTCAGAAACACCCTGTATTCCCGGTGATGTCTAAAGTGTATTTGAAACATAATTAAACCGTCATGAGTGCATACAGAATTAAAAATATGTATTTTCAAAAATTAAGCCAGGGACAGGGTATTTGAAAAATATTATGTTGTTTTTACTAAATCAAAACATCGAATGAGAAAACTGATATTTCTATGTGAAAGTAGAGAAAAAGTTCTCACAAAGACTTCCTTTTGCTGTAGCTCTGACAATATCAGAAAACTAAAAGAATTATAAAAAAAATATATTTATATTAATAAAAAATATGTATATCTGAAATATGTTTACGATTTTTCAATGGTCCCCCTAATGGTGCAACTTCTTTCTAATTTGAGACACTCCTGCATCTTTAACTGTTTTGATATCCTCTTGAATTTGTTTCTGTTTTTAGGGGGTTCCAATGAGTACAACAATCTTGGCTATTGTAGTGCTAATAAATAATTTAAACTTTATGTAATTTAGATTCCTGCGAATTTGTTTAATATATATATGGGTTCTTTACTTGTACTTTAAAGAATTTCACTGTGGACTCAAATTTTTTATGCAACGTTGCAATTCTAAGAAACCCTAAAATGAATGAACTGAACGAAAATAAAAAGGTGAATATATTTTAAGGAAAGGATTGACTGGGAAAAACTTTTTTTACTCAACCTTTATAGACAGAAAAAAGTACTAGACATCCTTATCTTAGATATGGTGTGAATATATAAAAATTTTTGTTAAATTTGTAGTTGATAGATATATATGTATATTTAAGAGCCTAAGGAAATTGCCACCAGATTGTAAAAAAGCCCAAATCTATTAATGTACTTTCTATCAGCAGTATTCTACATGTAGAAGTTTTTTAAAGATTCTATTATTTCATAAATTATTTCAAAAAATAATTCCTTTTGTATCAATGCTTTTATTTCTCATATATACACTATATTATTTTTTTACTTTGTACATTTTCTTAATATGATAAAATTAATAATAAATAAAATAAATTAATATTATAAAATTACCAAAATATTGTGATAATAGACTCCAATGAAAAATTACTTTAGTACGTATTTGTACAGAGTATTACAAAAAAAACAAGCGAAGTTGTTTACTACCACAGACTTACTACAGATTCTTTTGAACGGAAATACAGACTTCTCTTATGTCATTAGACGCCATTTTGCAAGATACAGGGACGCCCTTTTTCAAGATACAGGATGTTAACTGCAATAACAAAAAAGTTTTTAGTAATAATTTCATTGTTTTTTATTTTTTAAGATACTTAGTTGAAATTTATCACGAGGGCGGGATATATTTAAATTATATTTGTAATTTTAAACATTCAAGTGTTTTAACTTTTTCAAGATTTTATTGTTTCAGATAACAGCACCGAAATAAACTTCATGCAGAGAATTGAGGAACTCTTAACACTTACGAATTTATCCAACTGTTATGTGAAGAAACTTAGTCAAAATATTAATTTATTCTATGAAATAAAAAGACAACAACAGAAAAAGGAATTATTAGATGTAATTGATCAGCTTAAAAGTGAATTAACTTTCAAAGATCGTACTATTAAAAAATTACATAAAGCAAAACATATATTACAAGGTCAGCTACTAAAAATTAATGAAAATTATGATAAAGAAAAATTACATTTGGAAAATGTATTAAACAAAGAAAATTTGTCGAATGAGAATGTCTTATTGCAGAAGAAACAAATTGAGCATTCGAAATTTAAGAATGATGAATCAAAAGATAATTTAAAACTAAACAATTTACCAATGCCCAAGGAAGAAGACAAGGTAACATGTCAGCTACCACACTGTAGTAAAGACTGTACGGAAAATATGAAATTAATTGAAGACTTACTAAATGAAAATACGATTTTAAAAAAAGAAAATAAGATACAAAAAGTTATGTTACAAAAATTGTTCTTAATATATAAAAATCTTTTAAGTAAGTTTGAGAATTGCCAAATTAAACTAAGCTTCCTGAATTCTACAATAAATAAAGACTATACTGAAGAACTATTTAACAATTTGTATGGAGATCATCTGCTAGAAGGTAATTTTAATTTTTTTCATTCAGTACTAAGTATAAGTTTTTTAAATATTTTAATGAAAATTTAAAAGATCACTTAATGTAGAAAAAGAATAGTTAGAACACATTAGAAACGCACGTTATCAATATCATTTTATTCATTTTTGTTTAATGAGTTTTGCATGGCCTAATATTGATAAAACAATACATTTAATATAAACTTATAAAGAGCACAGAATTCATGCGATGTGACTACTGGACTTTTTCTCTTCAATTTTACTTTTAATAATAAATTAGACATAAAGGGAGGTATTAAATGATATCAATTTTTGCTAATGAAAACCAATCAACTAAAATGGTCATTTGCAAGTTAGTAAAATTATGTTAATAAAAGGAAGTTTCAAATTTTGGATTCAACATCAATTTCAAAATAATTTAGTTTCATACAGGATGGTAGAAACTTAATGCCCAATAATTTAGTCGACTCTAAACCATCTTAACTGTTTTTGTAAATGGAACACACTGTATATTTTTGCGCAACCTGATGAACAATTTTGTTCTCTTTCAAATGCTATAATGGTTCCCAATACAAAAAAATATAATTAACTACAGATGTGCATTTCTGTTTATTTTCAGTTGAAGTACAAAAGCATACTGATTATAGCGAAGTAAGTTCAGATGGTGTAACGGAAGAAATATTACATCGAGTTCGAGCCAAACTGCAAACTTTAGAAGACGAAACTAAGGAAATTGAAGACAAATATAAAAATTTTCGTTAAAGTTAATTTTGTAATTGGGCATTTTGTACAATTAAGTAATATAAATATTTTGTTATTAATATTACAACCAATTTCACAATTGTTAGCAAACTACTGCTTAAAAATTTCTCAAGGTTAATCAAAATCAAAACATATCTGTTATACAATATTTGGTTGGTTTATACGGATCATCTTGATGATTTGCAAACCCTTGGTTTTTAAGGTGGAAATTACAAATATGGCAGTTGTTTAATTTAAATTTGATCTATAGTCTCTAAAATATTAATGAGTAATTCTAAAAGATTTTCAAAATTCAAAAGATTAAAGCTATTTTTACATTGATAGAAGAGAGTAGTTAGCGCCCCTTAGAAGTGGCTGCAACACAGTTATCATATTTGTAATTGCCACCTTAAAAGGGTATAGGTGTGCAAATTTTCAAGGTACTCCGTGTACTGAAAATATTACGAAAAATCGAAAATATTGTTATGACCAATGCACTTAAAAGAGAAATATTCAAATAAGACATTGACTTTAATTATACAGCGTGTTTCGCATAATAATTGACGCAGAGCACGAGCATGTAGGGGAACCCAAAATATGATGATTTAACACGACTTACCTTTATACTAAGCTGCACCCCTGAGAAGTTATAGGCCTTGAAAGGGGGGTTTCAAATTTCAAATAAAATCAATATATCAGTTATATTAGAAAAACCAAATTTACTTAAAAAAATTATTACTTTATGGGAAATTTAATTCTAAAACTTTACTTACTCTTGTTAGTTTTGGAAAAACTTTAAAGTTTTCAACAAAAACACGAATAACAAATAATACGTATTGTAGCTGTGTTATTTAAAATTATCAGAAATTCGAAAGTTGACGATCAGGAAAAACGTTGGAATACCAATTTAATAGAATAACAAACAACAGAAATAATACAATTTGCATTGATAAGTTATAGAAATTCCTCAAAATGGTCACCATTTTCTCTCAGGCATTTTATTCTTCATCGAAAGTTGAAGCCAACTTTTGAATTTTTGATGATTTTGATTAGTGGGTTAAAAAAATTCTGTCATATTTTAATGGTGCATCATCCCTGATCAATGTTTTAAAATGTTTTAATTGAACTCTACTTATTGTCGATTAATGTTCTTGGTACACTAACACCGTAATTTGGTTGCTCTAAGTTCCAGTATAACAGATAGATTTTTTTTTAAAGGACCCCGCACATTTTATATGGAAAACGGTCTTCCGGTGAAATTTGCTAAAAATTTGGGAAATTGTTCGTTTTGTACCCCTGATCAAAAGTGTCAATGGGGTCGATGCTCAAAATGCCCATCTTTAGGCTCTACGGCAATTTTTAGTGGCCAAAAACGGCAAAAATTCATTTTTTTAAATATTATGTTTAATGCTTGTACAGTCCCTTAAGTTTTCATTAAATTGTATGCGTGTGAGTATTTTATGTAGGAATATGTCCATGTCTAATTATATGTGTGTATATGTATTTGTGTGAGAGGGTTTTTGAATGCACAATTATACAAGATTTAATACACACCGTCTCAATATTATTTTGTGGTTTTAATAACCTTCAATGAACTCGGAACTCTCATGCATTTTTTCAAAGAGTTCCCAAGAGTTGCCAAAGAGTTGCCAAAGATTTTCCAAGAGTTCGCAGTTCATAACTGAAGCGGATTTCTAGAGAAAGAATGTAAATAAAGCGAAAGAGAAGACACGCTGAATGAATTTTTGCCGTTTTTGGCCACTAAAAATTGCCGTAGAGCCTAAAGATGGGCATTTTGAGCTTCGACCCCATTGACACTTTTGATCAGGGGTACAAAATGAACAATTTCCCAAATTTTTAGCAAATTTCACCGGAAGACCGTTTTCCATATAAAATGTGCGGGGTCCTTTGAAATTCCACTTTCAAGGCCTATAACTTCTCAGGGGTGCAGCTTACTATAAAGGTAAGTTGCGTTAAATCACCATATTTGTGGTTCCCCTACATGCCCCTGCTCTGTGTTGATTCCTATGCGATACACCCTGTATATATACCATACAGTGTGGACTAATTTGGTGATACATGTACATGTTGGAAACTATAAGAGATAGGAAAATGGTCAAATGGGGAAAGTTTTAGACAGTTCTGTTGCTAACTTAATGGCGCTTAATTACAAACATTTGAAACTTCTAAAAAATTGTGCGGTGTTAGATTTATTAAAAATATTTAAATTTTGATTTTTGAGGTTGTTTCTGAAATTTTTTCTTATATTATATCATTGAAAATCCAAAAAAATTTTGTATTTGCTTAGTTGTCGATCCCAAATCATTGAGGCCAATTTCTAGCCATGGAATAATGGCGCCCGCTTAGCTTAAAATAGAATATGGCGCCTATAAGAAAAAAGGAAGTTGATGGTTTCTCGCAACCGAAACGTTACAATGAAAATCTTAAATATACAGTGAAATTCCTCAAAAAAACTTGCTGTGAAAATATGTTTTCAAATTTTAAAAATCTCTCTAAATAAAAAAACTACAGATGACTTTCGAAAACATCATTTATTTATATTTTTTTCAAAATAACAAAAACCTGACCAGCTAGGACCCATCTGCAAGCGCCATTAAGTTAGCAACAGAACTGTCTGAAACTTTCCCATTTGACCATTCTCCTATCTCTTATAGTTTCCTAGGTACCAATACATGCATCACCAAAATGGTCCACATAAATGTATTAATTTCTGAGAGATTAAGTTTATTAAATCAAAACTTTCGGTCTAACTAAAAAATTATAGATACAATATATTAATTTATAAAATATTTGTTTTCTTACAATAAACTAAGTTATAAATATTGATAAAATTTAGTTATCGATATCTCCTGTCCCCTGTCCCATCACACTGAAGTTAGTAGGCCAACTAGCCAGACAGATATATTACAGTAATTCTTGACTCTACGAAATGATGAATTTGGATAGTAAATAATTTGTCGTCTTAAATATGGATAACATTTTTAGGCCTCATGTGTTATATTTTTGCAGTTCCTGCTTATTGAATATTTGAATATTATAAATAAATAAAAATTAAATATTGTAATGTCTGGGATTTTCTCTGTATGTACTTGAGCAACTGTTGTATATGTTAACTTTTCATCAAAAGTTTAAGGATAAAGAATTCTACGTACCTACTTATTTACTGTGTAATTTATTAAATTCTTTATTCAGCCAATTGGAAGGTTTTCAGGTAGATCTAACAAACTAGTCTCTTAACACATCAGCAGTATTTTTGGTGATCGACCTAGTTCTAGTTAGGTAAAAACATCAACTTGTGAAAATGTATTTCGATTAGGTTACTGATTAATGAAGCTCATAAAAATTTTTTTATTATACTTCTCTGAAAACACCTTATTTTCATCTGAATTAATAATAATGTAAGATGAGCTTTTCTGGGCTAGCGCATGGAAAAAAGTTTTCACGATCTCTGATTCTTTCCGTGCCCTAAATAAAAATACCGATATGGCTTTAAAATAGATAGATATTTATTAGTGTTAGTACACAAAAAGTGTTTACACACGTCAAAAAAAAAATAATTATAGTAGTAATATAAAATCATTATGAAAAAAAATAATAAAATATACAACACGACACACACACGCGTATAACAGTGTTGACACGTAACTAGTTCATAATTTAAGGAACAAAGAAAGTTGTAATAAAACAATACAAGTACAAGCAATAAATGGTTGTCAAATGTTAAAATAAAATGTTTGTAAGAGGACAACAAAACAAACAAACAGAAAATGATACATATTAAAATAAGATTATGAGTAATGTAATAAGAAAAAACAAACAATGCAACTAAAGTGTGCAAAGCCCACGTCTAAGTTAGTCATGTTAGGATGAGATCACTTTTTAAAAATTCTTGCGTAGTATAAAATGGGCTGGTTAATAGAAAGTGTTTTATTTTTCTTTTAAGTAAAGTAGGGTTGAGATGACATATTGCAGCTGGTAATGCAGTAAAAAACTGGATGCCCAGATATGATGTGCCATTATGTGTTTTACCTAAAAGCGGTGAAAGTTTAAGTTTATGTCATTTTTTGTTTCTAGTATTATGAGAATGGATTTGGCTACGGACAGTAAACGACTCTTCGTTTTCTTTTATGTACAAAAGGCACTGGAGTACGTAAGTACATGGTAATGTTAAAATACCAAGATTCTTAAACTGTACTCTGCAGTCACCTCTTAAATTTTAAACCTGAGATTATGTGAATGGCTTTTCTTTGAGTAGTAAAAACGGTATCAGCTGAAGGTGAATGACCCGAAATCAGGATTGCATAGGATATTTGGAAGTGAATAAGGCTATGATAAGCAGTAATTAACGTTTAATAGAAATATACAGCAAAGTAAACTAAATTTAAGAAAGTCTATATGTTTTCTGATATTTAACCTGTACCTATTTTGTATTTTAATTCGTAAATGTTTGAATATTTAGATACATTTCTGTAAAATTTTTTGACATTTTGTCCACCATATCTGTCGTAGACTAATTTAAAACAAATCACCTTTGAGAGTAACCATGGAAACGCATCATACATACCAAACACTGTATTGTCAGAATTGTTTATTTTCTGTCGATTAAATTTATGCCGATGAAATGTACTCAGAAGAAAATCCCGTAATTCCTGATAACAAGTATCGTAGAGAAAGCTGCACAAGCCAACGCGAATTTATTGTCAGTAAAATACAGGTCAAGATATGAACACGAATATCAACATTTTACTGAATGGCAAAATCTGAACAAAATCAAAACTGTAAGTGACGATATTCTTCTAGTTTACTTTGTCGAAAAAGTTAAGTCTATGAAATCTTCCACATTATATGAAGTCGATGCTCAATGCTAAAGAGTTGTTTGGCCATAAAAGAAACTATTGCTTTCTTGAAGCGTTAAGCTGTAGGATATGTACCGAACAAGTCCAAAGTTTTACCAGTAGAACAAATAACCAAATGTTTATGTGAAGCTCCAGATGAACAATATCCATTACCAAAAGCAAATTTAGTATTTGGGATGTTTGGTGTGTGTCGAAAAAATGTGGTAGATAATGAGCGCTTTCTGTCGTGTTTTTACGAGATCGAAAACTCACACATCAAGTTTCACCATTACCAATGAAGGATGTACATTTTAGCCCTGCACAATTACATCTTAAATATGCAGCTGTACGACCTAAAAATATGACCAGCAGTCAGTTGGAGCTGTTATTATTAATAGTTAGTTAATTTTCAATATTCTTACTCTACATGTTTTGTTATTCCTGTAACTGTTATGAAAATAAAAATGTTGTAAGTTTCTTTCCTATGTCTTTTTTTAAGTTATATTTTGTAATGTTTCAAAGAAGTATAATAAAAAATATCGTTCATTACACGTCCAGAAATGGATTATTCCGTGCTTGCAATTTGTCACACTCCTAATAAAATATACTCTAGCAAAACTTAAACACTAGTGTTTATAAGTTTAATTTATAATAGTTTCTTTTTCTTATATTTATATTTAACTAGCGTCAATCTTAATTAGCATCAAGCTTATTTTTGTTACTTCGTAAATTTAAATTCTATTCATAAAAATACCATATCTTGAATCGGCACGATTTCGCGTGCGCGAGCGATCAGAGGAAGAAAAGAAAATGACAAGTGGCAGAAAAGAAAAGGCACGTATCCTAACTGCAAAAGAGCGCTCGCAAATTAAAAATTTCGCTAAAACCACATAAACACCCAGTGCCTGTGAAAAACTTGGAAATCATCAAAGAAAACCTGCACCGAATTGGTAAGTGCCGATTCAATGCGATTCTTATTTTTTCATACAGTCCATTTACTTTTCTTTTGTTTCTTTTATACTGAACGGAACCAGCACGTGGCGCTTAATATGAAATTTACAACTAGGGACCAACTTCAATAAACACAAAGTAAGACACCCATTTTTAAAAATTGTTTTATTACCTTGTTCATTGTTTTTGCCAATAGAGATATTTTTTAGTTAGATCTATCAATTCCTAGACTTCTTTTAAAAAAGCATGTATGTTCCATTATACTAATGAGTGTAAATAGTTACTAACAAATTAAAATCAGCCGCATACTCATTAGTACCAGGAGTACAAAAATTAAGTATCAATACATACAAAATATACAAATATTTGGAATGAATTAATGTTTATATTAGTATTCAAATAGCTACACTAAGTACTATTCTCTTTTACTTAGCAGCAATTGAAAGGCAATTGAAGTGTCTAATTACCTTAAATACCATAGTAATAATTTCAACAATTTAAAATTTACTTTATTATAAATTTTCATATAAATATATATATACACATAATGTTTCACGTCAACATCACCCTTATCTCCTTGATTTTTTAAATATATTTAAATTTATTGCTATTTTCTCTTTAGGGTCGGTCGGCTTTATTGCCATCAATAATTTATTTTACCAATTAAAAAAATATTTATTAAATGTAGGTATCTACAAAATGCTCGCAGATGGGTGGAACTATTATGATAAAAAAAAGTTAGTGTTGAAATATAAACTTCTAGCTGTCAGCTTTGCTTGATTGTGAAACGAAATGTTGCATTTTATTGCGAGAAAAATATAAAATAAAGCAACAGACCTATAGTAAGATCGTATTCGATGCAAAGTAGAGCAAAAAATTGTCGGTCTTTTATCAAAGGAAAATCATGTCATCATTTTTAGGAAGCGTAAGATGAACCATTTCAAATTTAAAATGAAATTGAATGTAAAATCTGAAATACCGCTGCACACGCACCGTGTTCTGGTAGTAGCTGTAGTCGTCCAGGTGCATCGAGTGTACAAATTGATCGGTTATATATCGAATACTAACCTGACGAGCTTAGTCGTAAATCAGAAACCGCCTCCAAAAAACAAGTAAACAGTGGCACGTACAGAGGTAAAATGTAGTACATATGTGGAATTTAGGAAACAAATTGGATTTATAAAAAATTAACATTAAAATAAATAGTTTATGAGAATAGAGGAAGGGGTGCTAGACATGAACTGATTCCTTCATAATGCATAAGAGAATTATTCAATTTCTAAACCCCTTAAAATCGTACTACACTGGATCCCTTGACAGGCAATGATTTATTACTTTGCATCGAATACGATCCTGTATTATTGTATTCCTTCTAATGTATTAGAAGGAACACTTTATAGTTAAAAAAAGTTGAAAACTTTAAATTTCTGAGCCTTATTGGTTAAATCAACACAGGTTGTTTCCATAAACAAAACGAGATGAATGAGGCCATATTTTACTTTGCTTCTTAAAATCCGTCATGGACACTGTAGAGTCATTGCGAAATACATAGGCCACCAATATATTTATTATATCTTATTTATTTATAAGGTGATTAAAAAAATGCGTTACTTACCTTTTTCAGAAAAAAAATCAAATTGAAAATATCCTTCTATTAGTAAACTTAGTGGTTCATGATAACTGTTTGTTTACTTTATACTATTTTTATTTTTCGGTGCCATTTTTTAGTTTTAATCTATAAAATTACCATGAATTCTGATTTCTTTATTTAATTTAGAAATCTTACGACTACTTAATTTTTAATTATCGATTAATTTTCTATAAGATAAGGTGTCTTATTTTATATTTTACATTCTGATTACTGCACGGTGATTTTTAATCTAGCTAGATATCTATTTTAGTAAATGATGACAAGAATTCAAAAACCAAAAAAAAATTAAAATAGTTCTTTAAGCAGAAATATATATTTAGTTCCACTACAACATATTTACATTATAAATTCTAGAAGAAAAAGTAATAATTGAAAATATGTTAATATTCGAGGAGATAAGGTGAATTTTTTATAATGAAACATATACATAATTAAGAAATTGTAAACTGTAAAATTAATAAACTTAATCGATAGAATCCCAACGAGCAAGATGTACATAACTTTGTTCCGCCGAAAGCGAAATAAATGAGTTGAAGTTAGCTGAAGGTAGACTAGTGCTAAAATACTTCGGTGTTAGTGGAGATTGCAGGTGTCGGTGTTTAATTACTTCACGCTCTGCAGAGACCAGTCCAGATTCCTGCAACATATTAAAAGATAAGACCAATTAGTCAAACTTATAGGCCAATCAATAGAGCCATTAAATCAGTGATTTTATGACAGAAATACTAGTAGCAAGCGGACTATGCCATCGTGTAAAAGACAGTTGCTTATATGTTTTCTACTCCAATTTACCATTAATTCATCTTTTATTTTTCAGCCGGATTTTAAAAGTAGAAGTATAATACTACAAAACATATATTATAATTTAAACAGCCAGAAGTTGTTTCTGCTAATGGCCGGTTGTGGTGTCCTCTAGAAGATACAACGAAATCGTCGATAAATTTGAATTTCTCATCCCAAAAAACCCCCAGATACGAAATTTCACGTAATTAGCTCGAAGTAGTCGAAAGGTATTAAAGAAAAGTACTCCTACTAATTTTAAGTGTTCTATTTGCTGGCGAGGTTTGTAACCTTGTTTTTGTTACATCCTGTATATCCACTGCCCCTCATCTCCCGATCTTCCCCCACCACTCGACCGCGTACGCGCACTCGGACGTTTTTTGAGCATGTTTGGTGGAATTTTTCAACTATCACATCATTTTATTGGAAAATTAGAATATATTTACGTTGTATAGTATTATACTTCCACTTTTAAAATCCAGTTGAAAAATTCAGGAATTTTGTAAATGGCGGTGTAATGAATTAATTCTTAAAAAATACTGAAAACTACAGCTTATAATTATATTGGTTTTCCTTGATATTCAAGTGTATTACTTATTGTAGTTTGATATTCTGAACTAAGAAATCAAGCGACCATCATTCAATGAATAAAATAATTTATATAAAATATAATTTCTAAACACAAAAATAATATATCAAAAGTAAAAAATGTAGTTATTTAAAATAAAAAATATAAGTCGTACAGCCCATGACTAGAAACAATATTTAGAGGCCAATATCTCAGTAGATGTTTACTTCCAAATAGATATAAGTAAAATGGTAAAAAAAATTAATAAACCACAAATTTAGTTAGAGATCTTTATGTTTTAAGTAAAAAATTTATCTATATATTTATTTACAGCTACATAAAAAATTTATCTGCCAATTTTATTCGAATATTTCGAAAATTGACGAAGTTACCTTAAAGAAAAGTATTTTGGTTTGTTTTCATTCAAGGGGTCTGTCTCCCTGTGAAGTAAGGCCCATTCGTTTTCGAACACTTATACAGGGTGTTCCTTAATGACAAACAAATATTTAAGGGTGTGATTCTACATGGAAAATTAATGACATTGATTTATAAACTATGGTCCAAAAATTTCCCTTGCAAAAATATGGGGTGTTAAAATTTTAAGAAAAAGAAGGATATTAATGAATATTTTCGAAACTGCTTGGGATATTTCAGTGATGTTTTTCAATACAAACAGAATTTTTAGTTCTAGCAGAGGCGTGCGTACGAGCACTGACTGATATTTTTAAAGAAAAAAATGGTACGCCAATGGTTTTTTTCAAACATAAAATTATTTTTGATCTTTCCGTTCAATTCGAAAGATAAGAGCTTTCTTGGGTTTTGGTCTTGCGATGCGCCGTTTTTGAGTAAAACAAATTATTAATAATTTGATAGCAAAAATTATAGTATATTACATAATAAGTGTTGTAAAAGGCATTTTACGCACGAATGGAAAAGTTATTATGCGGAATTCTGTGAGTGCGTAATTGCATTACACCACGTATTAAGTATACTTTACCTCCCTACAACCACTACTGTAAATACTTAAAAACACACCGTCTGCGATCAATGTAAGATTCCTATTACGTCGTACTGTAAAAAAAAACGCACAGCTTGGTAAAAAAATCATACAGTTTTCCTAGCAACGGTCAATACAATACTGTTTGTACATAATAGGAATCTTGCATTGATCGCAGACGGTGTGTTTCTAAGTATTTACAGTAGTGGTCGTAGGTAATAGTATATTAAACAACAAGGTTTGAAAACGACTCTTTGCACACAAGCAAGACATATTGGTGTCGAGCGAGTGTGCAAAGAGGTTTTCAAACGAGTTTTTTACGATACTTTTTATACGACTGCAGAGACCACAAAAATCAAATTTTAATTTAAATCGTTTTTATTACTAAAATTGCCAACGCATTAACAAAATAAATTAAATGCAACTTTTAATTTAACTCGTTTTTATTAAGAAAATTGCTAACGCATTAACAAAAGAAACTAATATTTAATATTTGAACATTCCTTCAAGGTTACGCTGGGAAAAGCAGTATTATTGTGCATCTTGTTTTCGGTAATAGAGAATATTTTTGGTGTCGTGTTTTTAGTGCAGTCTTTCAGGGTGCGGTCATTGATTTCTTGTTGTATTCCAGTAGACGATCGTTGTTCTGGTTCTGTGGCAGCAGAAGACACTGAAGACTCTATCTTTTTCGAAACTTACATTTTATTTCTCAGTCATCAACGTAGCCTTCGGCAACTGTACTGGATTTCCACCCTCCATGGCATTTGAGGGCAAGCAGATTTGAGTCAGAATTGACTAAAATTGTGGCCGATGAACAATGTCCCGTGTAACTTTCTGGATTCTCTAGCATCAAAAACTTGGCGATTTCCCTAGCCATGTTTCCAATTTTGTTGATGCCAACGTTTTGGCTTGAACATTTTCTGTTTTGATAGTTTAAAAAAAACCTGCCTGTCTTCAGATTAGGAGGACGAAGAGCACAGTACTTTTTTAAGATAGTGTAAAGGTTTCCTGTAATTGTAAAACACCTTGGTACCTTTGTTTTTGTATTCTTCAGTTTAATCAGCATAGCTCTGCCGAAATCTTTGGTGTCTTTTATTTTGAGATAACATAATTCCTCCCTTCGACATGCCCCAGATAGTCCAACTGCCACCACTGCCTTGATAAGTAAATATTTGTCGTCTGATGCTTTCGTCAAAAACCGGCAAAAATCATCTTCTGTGAGAATTCGGGACTTCTTTGGGACGTAGTTTTCGGATTTTCGTTTGATTAGCGCTTGCAACTTTTTATAGCTTCCAAGATCTATGTTGTGATTGGCACTTAACGTTGACTTGAGCATCGAAAAAATCGTCCACAACGTCGAAGATTTATATTTCTTAGATAGTTCTTCAAAATACACCATTACTGCGTTTTCTAAGAAAGTTTGGACATTTTTGGCTAGTCACCAGTCCATAAATCGGCTTAACTCAGCTTCATACCTGCTTCTGGATTTTGTGGGCAGCAGTTCCGAACATATTTTGCTTGCTTTCTGTAAAATCTCTCCAGAATCACACATTTTCACACCCAAACTTCGGGAATTCAACAATTTTTGAAGTATCTAATCAACAAAATAAAGGAGCCGTGACGGTTGCTATGAAACTCAGTAAATTTGAAACATTGCATAATTTGGGTGACAACATCAAACAAAAATCACAATCTGGAGACGCGTGTGCAACGATGACATAATTGTGTGCAAAATGTTTGGCACACGGCGTGTGCAAAATACCGTTTTCAGAGCGTGTTTTCCATGCGCAAAACCCCCTTTTACAAGGCAGTCGTATAAAAAATACATTACAAGTTGACACCTGCGTGTAATGAACAGTAACAATTAACAACATACAACATTGACATAACATTACAACTAATATCAAACTTAGGCTTATTACAAAAATTATTGAAAGTGGCCTTCTTAATATGAATGCTTCTGCCCAACTTGTTGAAATATTCCCCAAGTATTTTTTATTCTATCACATGCAATTATTCTTTCTCTTAATTCCTCTACAGTATTAATGGGACTTGACACTAACATCTTAAGGCCCCATAAAAAGAAGTCTAAGCTTGCTTTTGAGGTCGAGGGACCTTGGCGGCCATTCTTGCGGCCCATCGCAGCCAATCTAACGATTTGGATAAACAGTTTGTAAATACAACGGGTTTTATTTTTTATTTACAAAAACTCAAGAGAGCTCTTATCTCTCAAATGAATGGCTCGTACGCACGCCACTGTTACAGCTAGAGATGGGAAAATTCCCAAACTATGAAAATTCCTGGAAAGTTTCCATTGAAAATTCCGGAAATTTTCCGAAATTTAAAAATTTTTTTTTTTTGGAATTGGTATTGCGTTTTACATACCTTCAGCTTTCCAAAAAGACTAAATACTTATACATTTTTGTTTAAGTTGGTATAAATATTTGAAAAATATAAATTATTAATCATCGGTTAATAATAATTACATGCTGCGGGTTGCAGTGCGTAAACAATATACAGTATACAAAACTATTTATCTTTATTTTTAAACAAATAAATAGTAAATACATTAAATAATTATACTAGTTTTAAAATGTAATTGTACTTTGGTTCACTATCAAAATTTATTTTAAATTTGAAAAGGGAGATGCAATTTATGTCTTGTATTGCTCTCTATTATGTAGATTGTAGACTTAACAAAGATTAAAATAAGTAAGTGTAAGTATTTAACTAACGATTTTTTGAGGTTGTATTCACTGAAGTTAGAAGTAAAATGGGCTTCAAGTATACAAATTGTTAGAAATATTCCCGGAAAATTTCTGATAGAAATTTATCCAGAAACTTTCCAGGGAAAATTTCTTAAGCTTCGATTATTTCTTCCCGGAAAATTTCCGTTTTGGAAACTTTCCGGGACAGAAAATTTCCCATTGCCCATCTCTAGTTATAGCTCAAAATTATTTTTGCATTGAAAAGCATGCACCTTTATTAACTATCACTACGTACTAAATATTAGTGAAATATCTCAAGCGGTTTCGAAAATATTAATTAATTTTTCTTTTTCTTAAAATTTTAACATCCTGTATTTTCGCAACGGGACATTTTTAACCATAGTTTATAAAGCATACCATCGTTAATTTTCTATGTAGAATCACACCCTTAAATATTCGCATATCATTAAGGAACACCCTGTATAGGAATCATTATAAAAATTTGCATAATTAAAAACAAGAATCGACTTGTCTGGACATTTTTCCCTAAAATATTACTTAGCTTTTGATTGAATTCACTTTACGGACATGCCATATGAGATATGTTTGTTTAGAAATATCTTAAATAGAAAAAGAAATGAAATGAGAACAAAACAAAAATAATAGCATATACATGTTGGCCATAACTCGCGAATTAAATACTCCATGACTGTCATAAAAGTCTCTAAAAAATTTTTTAATTGAGTAAAAATCATTAACACATTTGATATTCAGGTTCCGTTTGATGCCAAACTATCTCATTTTTAACATTATACAGGGTGACACCTAACAAATGTTACATATTTCAAGGGTATAATCTAGAACCCAAATGGTGAACTTGCTTAAATGAAAAATGTCGCAAAATAGTTACAGGGTGTTAAAGTTTCTTTTTTATTTTAGTCCAATCAATCTGTCACGGCCATATGTTAAATTTATAAAAAATACCACCTGGAAACAAAAGATATGGTGACATAGGAAAAGCAATTCTAAGAAGGATAGTGTATTTTTCTTGTGACGCATAAACGGCGAAGTTAACCTAAAAAATTCATAAAAGTAAAAGAAGACGGTTTTTCGCTAATAAAAAAAAACTTGAACTCCAATCGAAAAAAGTTAAAACGAGAAAGTTGTAGCTAATAAAAAAACCTATCGATTCGTATTTTTAAATATATCGATTGCTATATTACGTTTCGAGATATATCGAAAATACCGTCAAAAATTGACTTTTTTGTTTTTGCAGTATGTCTTGCAAATTAAGCTTTTGAAACTTGTTACTTGCTGTAAATGTATCCCTCGGCAAGTAAAAAAGTACCATTTGTTTTAATTAAAAAATATAAAAAATTTTTCGAGTTATATAGATTTTTCGAAAAAAAGGTCATCTCGCAAATCGGCTCTTCTTGCTCGACGAATAGTCGTAGAGGATCAGGACTCATTCCTTTCCTTAAAAGTTGTACTTTCATGGTAAAAAAGAGTGATAACGATTTTATTCATTTCAATTGTCCAAAGATGACTGAAAAAAGTACAAATTTTTTGGCCGCGTTTTTCTTCAATATCTTTTTCAATTTTCATTTCGATTGCTGACATTTTTACGCAAATTTAAAAAAAAACGTTGCTCTACGACCTTCTGGAGCAAGGATAATTTTTTTTTTTCAAAAAATTCTACGGGCCGCTATTTAAGTGCTACAGCGTCCATTCTTACAGAGATTGAAGTTGAAGACTTATATTTTCAATAAAAAAAACACTGTGGTTCATTTTAGCCAGTTCTGCATTTTTAATTGTGCGTCAAACCGAAGCATTTGAACCCGGCGCGAGTTAACTGTAGCGGGCGGCGGAGTGGGGGTAATGCTACTTGGCTGCTCCGAAAACTCAATGCTTCGGTTTGACGCCCAATTAAAAATGCAGAAGTGCCTAAAATGAACCACAGTGTTTTTTTTTATTGAAAATATAAGTCTTCAACTTCAATCTCTATAAGAATGGACGCTGTAGCACTTAAATAGCGGCCTGTAGAATTTTTTGAAAAAAAAAAAATTATCTTGGCTCCAGAAGGTCGTAGAGCAACGTTTTTTTTTTTAAATTCGCGTAAAAATGGCAGCAATCGATTCCTGTAATAGAAATTATCGAGAAATTAAAATCTAAAAAGATATTGCTACGATCTCAGGGAGGCAGAAACACGTACTTATCTCAGTTTTATTAATATATTCCTGGTTACATACATTACACTTAAAATACAACTTTATCAATACAATGGGTAATTTTTCTTGACGTGTAAACTCCAGTTTATCGTGCGTACATTGTACAACCTCCATCCAAGTCCCACTGCACACTGCCCGCACTTCAGTGCACTCTCCCACACTTAGTCCCCACTACCATGATTAACACTCATGTGCGTCACAATATTCAAGAAAAACGTGACTAAAAAATTTGTACTTTTTTCAGCCATCTTTGGACGCTTGAAATGAATAAAATTGTTATCACTCTTTTTTACCATAAAAGTCCAACTCTTAAGGAAAAAATGAGCCCTGATTCGGTTCTCTACGACTATTCGTCGAGCAAGAGGAGCCAATTTTCGAGATCACCTTTTTTTCCTAAAATCGATATAACTCCAAAAATTTTTAATATTTCTTAATTTTAAAAAAGGTGCATTTTTGCTTGCCGAGGGCTACATTTACAGCAAGTAACAAGTTTCAAAACCTTAATTTGCAAGAGATACAGCAAAAACAAAAAAAGTTGATTTTTGACGGTATTTTCAATGTATCTTGAAAAGTAATATAGTAATATATATTTAAAAATACGAATCGATAGTTTTTTTTTTAATAGCTACAACTTTCTCATTTAACTTTTTTCAATTGGAGTTCAGGCTTTTTTTTATTAGCGAAAAACCATTTTTTTCGACTTTTATGAATTTTTTAGGTTAACTTCGCCGTTTATGCGCACAAGAAAAATACACTATCTTTCTTAGAATTCTTTTCCTATATCACCATATTTTTTGTAAATTTAACATAAGGCCATGACAGATTGATTGGACTAAAACAAAAAAGAAACTTTAACACCCTGTAACTATTTTGCGACATTTTTCGTTTAAGCTTAATCGACACCATTTGAGTTCTAGATTATACCCTTGAAGTATGTAACATTCGTTAGGTGACACCCTGTCCATTGATGAGAGGTAGTGAATTATAAGTACTTTTATACTTATCACCGTTACTGAATATGTATACTAAAAGCGTTATGCGACAATCATGAAAAAATATTTTTATATATTTCAAACTTAATGACGCTTACCTGCAGAGTCAAAACTTTTTCTCAGGAATCTACAGTTTTATTTTTTCGACTCCTTAAAGATCCCACTATAGATTTTAAAGCGGCTCCAATGCTAGTACCAGGCGTGTGTAGAATTGTATTACTACCTCCTAAACCTTGTGGATGAGCGTCTAAACATTTCTGATATCGAAGCTATAAAAAAGACCGATTAACTCTAATAATAGGCGATACATTATTTTTCTACCTTACAAGCTGCTTCAATAGTTTTACATAAAGCTCCAGAAGAGGGTTCACAGTAAAATACGTGTGACATAAATGTATCTTGTGCTGTATGCATAATAAATGCACAATGTTTTATTATTCTACCTATTCCCAAGAACGACAGGTATCTAACTCGACACTCTGCAATAAGGTGATCATCCTAGATAAAAAAAAATCTTTTTAAAACTATCAAATTTAACACAATTTTTTTTTTAAAGTAAATTATAGTTTTTGATTAATTAAGAGGAAGCAAACCATGTACATAATCAGTGCCTTAAAGACGGGTCAAATTTTGAAACCAAACTCTATGATGGGGCCATTTCATACATAATTTTTTCACAGACAAAGTTTCCAAAATTAGACTTAGTCATACCTTTGAAACCTACATAGCAGTTCATTTAAATTTTACATGATTGCAAACATCCCGGACTTGAAGACAGGGGTATAGTTTATGTTGAATTGATAAATCCAACAATACTGATTAAAATTTAAAAAACTGCCATATTTAGATTCCACGGACATTTTATTCTATGGATATGAATCATGGATAAGCGCTCTCCAGAATCTAAATTTAAATTATAATATTTTATTTAAAAGAAAGTTCTCTATATTGACATTTTCATGTACTGCAGAAAACATGGCTTGAACGGAAATTTGAAAAAATTTCACCGAAGTTGGCGTTAACGCGCGAGTGTGGGTCGGGCGTTCCTTCCCCCACAGGCAGGCTATTCATTAACATTAACTTTTACTGCTGCTAACGCGTTTATTACGTGAAGTATCAATGTAAAACGTTTTGAAAATAAAAGTTTAACCCTTTCTATAATTGTCTTGTCTCTAAAATCCCGGTCCGATACGTCCTATAGTTAATTAACAATTAACGTTCCAAAAAAAAAGTTATATTGGGAATAAAGAGGCGTATGGTAGGTGATTTTTTCTTTAATTACCGTAAAAATAAGCTTTATTTAATATAAAAATTGGCATATTCTATATCAGACACCCTGTATATTTTCATATGACTTTAATTAGAGAGAAGTTAAATGTTTTTAATTTGGTGACACACATTTAAAAATCATGTTTACTGAGTATTTCATATAAATAATATTGAAGCTAAAAGCAATCTACACAATGTTTTTAAATTATGTGCAATTTAAACATGGCAACATTATGTTTATTACTTCAGCAGTTTTTGAGATGTTCCTTAATTTATAAAAAAATAAAAAATAATATTTACACGGCAGATTTACATTCCATTTTCTGGTATAGCAAAGCATGAGATCATAGGATGCTGTGGTTTTTAAATTTAAAAAATATTAATTATGTTATAATAAATGTTCCATTTTTTCTTTTGTTACATTTTGTCAACTTTAAACAGCAAACACTTTTTTATTTACTAACTTATCTTTGCTTGGGTATTTTGTTACATGAAAAAATGAATTATATTATTTATACAGGGTGTTTCTTAAGTAGAGGTCAAAAATCCAAGGGCGTATTCTGTCGCCAAAAATAACGGTTTTTTTGTTATATAAACGTGGGGTTCTAAGACAGCCATTGTCCAGCTACAGCGTGTCAAAAATTTAAAAAAATATCAGTTTTTAATTTTTAATTTATAAACCGTTTCAGACAATTTAACCAAATTCGGTGTGCATATTTATTATGACAGTAGGTATGAAACAAACAAAATTATCAGCTTTAGAAACTTTTCAGTGGCGGAGGTGTGGGTATCATCTATCATTATTTGCCCAAAAAATATATATCACTCTATAATATTACAAATAAAATAGCTCAGCATATGCGGCATTGTATTATCTTCACTATGTGTTTCTTTACACTTTTCTGTATTTCAAATCGATTATCAACAAAATTTATTTATTTGATCAAGTACATTTTCCAATTTCAAAATCAGTTTTCTTTGAATGTATGGGTGGGTATTATTGGAAATTTTGTTGGGCCTTACTTTTTATCAAGAACTTTAACCGGCGCCTCCTACAGACATTTTCTTGAAAACGTTTCACCTGAACTTCTTGACGATGTTTCCCATGCACCAAGAGAAATATGTAATTTATGCACGATGGAGCTTTCCCGCAATTCAGTTTGACTACTTGTGAATTTTTAAATGAAAAATTCGGTAATAACGTGATTGGACGTGGCACTCAAGAACCAGGTCATCCTTGGCCACCCAGATCACCTGATATGAATCCTATTGATTTTTTTTGTTTGGGGACATCTCAAGACATTAGTTTACAAGGTTCACATTGAATTTGAGGAGCACTTATGTCAACAAATTATAGCTGGTTTTGATGTTATAAGAGCTATTCCTGGAATTTTTGCACATGTTCAAGCTGCAATTTCAAGAAGATCTGAAGCATGGTTTTTGGCTGAAGGTGGCCATTTCCAACATTTGTTATAATAAATCATAGCAAAGTAATTCCATTGTTAATTCATTATTTTGTTATTATTTTAAGTAATGTAATGAGTATCGTAAAAATGTACTTGATTAAATAAATCAATTTTATTGTTAATCGGTTTGGAATACAAAAAAGTGTAAAGAAACAAAAAGTGAAGATAATACAATGGCGTATATGATGAAATAAATTATTTGTAATATTATATAGGGTGATGTAAGTTTCTAAAGCTGGTAACTTTTGTTTCATATAACGAGCGTTCAAATAAAAACGTGGTCAAGTGGGTTCTGAAAATTTGGACGTAGGGACGTAGCGTATAGCAAATGAACTTAAACGTCATCTGTCAAAGCACTATATCGCCGCTATCAATTTGAATATTTTCGTTTTAAAAAGCGTTTAAAATGGTGTTTTCTCAAGAACAAAAAGTGTTTATCATAGAGTCCTACTGTAGAAATGGACACAAGATTGATGGAATATGGAAATATTCTATTGAGGAATGTTTCATAGAATTTCAAAATCAATTTCCCGGCGTTGTTGAGTACAACATTTTTCAAAGTGCAGTTCAGCGTTGTGTTAATGTTTTTCGTGAAACGGGCAGTGTAACAAGAAAAGAAGGAAGCGGCCGACCTAAAAAGCGGACTGAAGAATTAAAAGAAAATGTCCAACAAATAATGGAAAATGCGCCAAGAACTTCTGTACGTGTTTTATCACAAATGGTGGAAGTATCAGTCGGTACCTGTCACACAGTGTTAAAAAAAGATTTGCGTTTGTTCTCCTATCGTTTAACTTGTCACCAAGAACTTCATGAAGTTGATTTTCCGCGACGGGCTGTGTTTTGTGAATGGTTTTTAAACAACTACGGTGAACTTCATAATATCACCTTTTTTTCTGATGAAGCCTGGTTTCATTTAAGTGGTTACGTAAACTCACAGAATATGAGAATCTGAAAAACCAGATAACTTTTTTGTCGAGGGCCCTCTACACGCTCAAAAAATTGGAGTTTGGTGTGCTCTCAATCGAAGGAGGATTTATGGACCTATTTTTTTTAATGGTACTCTTACTGCGCAAAGGTATAGAGAAGAAATTATCGCTCCTTTTGTTAACCAGCTGGAAGAAAACGAAATTACAAACTTTTACTTTCAACAAGATGGCGCAAGGGCACATACGACAGGCGAGACGATGAATATGTTGAGGGAAGTATTCCAAAATCGACTAATAAGTCTCGATGCTGAACATGAATTTCCACCGAGGTCGTGTGATATTACGCCGTGTGATTTCTTTTTGTGGCCTTACCTTAAAAACACTATTTTTGAACTGCCTATTCCTGATTTAAACCATCTGCAGGCTCGACTTATAGACAAGATTCGTGAAATTAACAATAGCCCGAGCATCTTAGAAAATGTCTTTAATTCTTTGAGGAACAGGTGTGAAAAGTGCTTGGAACAAGGAGGGGGACACTTTCAGCAGCTGCTTTAATTTATTGTTATAACAAGGAGGGGGACACTTTCCCCAGCTCCTTTAATTGTTTGTTATTGTTATCACGATTATTCTTTAAAATAAAGTTATATAGTCATTAACGCTATTGAAACTTACAGCTGCTATACAGCTCGTTGAGAAATGAGGTTAAGTTGGTCGCTATAAGCTACTCCCTACGTCCAATGTGTCAGAGCCAACTTCGACCACGTTTTTATTTGAACGCTCGTTACTATCATACTAAATATGCACACCGAATTTGGTTAATTATCTCAAGCGGTTTAGAAATTAAAAATTAAAAACTAATTTTTTTCGACTGCTGTAGCTGGATGTACAATTTACACATTTATATAATATATTTATATATTTTTTACCTCTACTTAAGAAAATAAAGCTTAATTTGGCAGGATATTTTTTTAAATTGACTGAGAATCTACTGGTGATGATGAAACTGGGAACCAATAACGATATAGACTATGTTCCTTACATCGAACAAATGAACTACTGCGTAACGTGGCTATGGGAGTTATGGGGTCGTGGGTTTATGGGGTTAGGGGGTTGGGGATTATAGGGTTAACAATATTCTGTGTATAGAGCCCTGATATACCCCACAATGAGAGATAAAGTCAAACTACTGAGTAACCTGGTTATTGGAGTTATGGAGTTACGGGGTTAGGAGGTTTGAGGTTGAATGTATAGGATTGTGGGGTTATTGTGGGTGCATAGCTCCCTTTACAAGACCTAATAGGACTTGACAGCTTGGGTTAACGTGTGAGGTGGTATGGAATTATCGGTAAAACCTCACGTAATGGGGTTAAATGGATCGCGGATTCAGATTCAGCGACCCCGGAAACATTTAATAGACATAGTCTGACCTTCAGACTCGAAAAACATTTTTTTGTGTGGTTGCAAATATGTATATACGTTATGATAAATGACTTACAGTTGGATGGTGAATGGTTATCATAGAAGGTGCTATGGATATATTAACTGGTTGCCACTGATTTTGAGGTATAGAAGTTATAAGTTTATCTATAGATTCATTTATAGTGTCCATTCCAGTAGCACTTGATACTTGAGTGCATCCAAGATATTCAGCTCTGAGTATCTTTTTTGGTTCCTCCATAGGTGTAGGAAAAGACTGGGCTAAAAAAAAATCACATTGGAAATATGGATTTATAAAAAAAATAACACTAATGTTAAATGCAGGATGATGAAAAAGAAATATTTACTAAACCATTTTAGGAAATTAGAGGGATTAATAAACTATATCTTTACAACAGTACTTACAAATAAAAATTTGACTATTTCTGGTCGTACGCCTGTGTTCTGTTGGTAAATTATTTGGCCTGGTGGCTACGGTCTTCCCATTAATATCTACATTTTTCCCAAGATTTTGTTGCAAGCTTCTCTCAATCATTATTTTTTTACAGATATCTCTTAATGTATTAGCAATTGTTCGAGCTGGCATGTCACAACGAAAAACATGGCACATGTGTTTACGAGTGCTACGGTCTCTAGCTACATATGCAAAATCCCTGCAAATAGATATCATTATATATCTACTAATTGGAATACTTATTCCATGAAATGTATTAATTATATTACCTTTCTCTATATGTTCCATGAAGCAAAGATAAAAACAATTAATATTATTTATACGTAAACATAAAGGAAACAAAAATGAGGTCAGAAACCCAACACTAACAATATATTAAATTAATAGTCCAATTAAATGAGCCTTTAAATCGCAATTTGGTCAACTTGCCTGAATTTTTGATATAAGTTAGTTTGAGGTATATAATAACAATAAGTGACAGTAATTTTTGTTTCAACCCCCGGCCAGGGGTGAAAAAAGATAAAATAAAGGGGTTTTTCAATATAACTCAAAAGGGGTAAGAGCTAGAAAAAAAAGTTTCTTATAAAAGTTATAGAGCATAAAATTCTACATAAAAATGGTATATTGACTTTTTCTTATACCGTTAAAATTAACAGAATTAGGGAGACTAGAAGTAATGGGATGATTTCAGAAATTTAAAAAAATTATAAGCAGAAAAATTAATAAATTTCATAATTTTTTTTTTCAATCTACGCTAAAAAATGTAAACTTTCTGTTCAGAGAAATAGAATTATTTTTTAATTTTTAAGTTAAAACAATTAAAATTTTGAATCGTTAATTTTTATGATTTAACACTAAAACAATTTTTTTCTATGCCATTCGATCGATTATTTAAAATAAAAAAAAAGTTGCTTTCGAAATTTTGTTTTATGACAAAGATAAAAAATCACGTTCGCTTTGTGAAATTGTTATAACTTTTTTATTAAAAATTAAAAAATTTCTCTGAAAAGATAGGTTATAAAATTCATTCATTTTTCTACTCGATTTGATGATTTTTTAAATTTTTTTAAGAAAAAGTCAATACACCATTTTTATGTAGAATTTTATGCTCTACAACTTTTATAAGAAACTTCTTTTTCTAGCTCTTACCCTTTTTGAGTTAACTTGAAAAACCTCTTTATTTTACCTTTTTTCACCCCTGGCCGGAGGTTGAAAAAAAAATTACTGTCACTTATTGTTATTATATACCTCAAACTAACTTATATCAAAAATTCAGGCAAGTTGACCAAAATTGCGATTTGAAGGCCTATTTAATTGGATCATAAATCATTAGGGACTTTGAAAATAGCAAGATAATAATTATTACTAAAACCATAACTTTGATAGTAGTATATTATGCAGAATGTAGAGAGACAAAAAGAAAGAAGCCAAGATGTAAAATGAGATGAAACGTGACAGGGCATTTGGAAGCTTAGAACGTGCGATTGTCACATTTATTATGTACTCGTAGTATTAAGTGTATTGTGTATTTTATATCTTGTATGATTGTATTATTTTTTCTTTCAATTTTTGTTACATAAGTTCTTTGTTGTAAATCTCTATTTATGTAAGTTCTTGACCGTTTATTATTAATCATGTTCTTCGTATATAGGGTGTTTCTTAAGTAGAGGTCAAAAATCCAGGGACGTATTCTGTGGCCAAATATAAGGGTTTTCTGTTATATAAATGTAAGGTCTTAGACAGCCATTTTACAACGTATTAAAAATTAAAAAAAAATCTATTTTCTGAATTTCTAAACCGTTTGAGATAATTTTACCAAATTCGGTGTGCATATTTAGTATGACAGTAGGTAAAAATTACCAGCTGTAGAAATTTACCAGTGGGGGAGGTCTGGGTATCATTGATCATCATTTTCCAAAAAAAAATCTATCACTGTATAATAATTACAAATAAAATAGGTCATCATATGCGCCATTGTGTTATCTTCACTTTTTGTTTCTTTACACTTTTTCGTATTTTGGTTAAATTACCTTATGTGTTTTAGAAATAAAAAAATTAAAAACCGATTTTTTATTTTATTTTTAACACTGCTGTAGTTGGATGAACAATGGCTGTCCTAAAACCCCACATTTATATAACAAAAAACCCTTATTTTTGACCATAGAATACGCCTGTTAGAGACATCGATAATGTAATCTTTTGTCTTGACATGAGAGTTTTGTTTTGTTAAAATAAAAACAATTGTTATTATTGATAATAACGTCAAATGTAATCTTGTTGTTTTGTGTTCTGTGGAAAATATTTTAAAAGAGAAGTACGTTGTGTTTATACAAAAGAGAAGTAGGAGCTGTACGAGCGGGTAGCTCGTGTGGTTTCGACACAGAATAACGCCCCTGGATTTTTTACCTCTACTTAAGAAACACCCTACAGTGACAAAGATTTAAATAATATTAAATTCTGTAAGTCATGTGCCCTAGGTAGGGTTACCAGATTTATTACATGACAGACTCGGAGACATAAAATGTGATTAGAAAAGGAATACTGCTTTTATAATTATTCTAAACTGCAACAAAAATATAAATAAGAAAATATTGTTACATTATTTAATTATTGCTTGAAACCATCCTATGGGAGACAAAATGTTTTTGAAGAAATCACGATTTTTCCTCAATAAAGAAAACAAACCCGAAGAAATGACATATTAACCCGGAGCCTGAAGATGTACCATTAAAACCCGAAAACTCCGGGTCGATCTAGTAACCCTAGCCCTAGGATGTTCCCAGGACTGTAAACGGGTAATTAATTACTATTAACATTTCATTAATGACAAGTTATTTTTATATTTCTAGATTTCCTAAAGATAGAGGTGACGGAGAAATGTATAGCTGTTCATAAAAGGAGTACACAAATAATATATTTTTTTACTTGTCTAAAATTTACCACACAAATATGTACTTAATGTTAAAAAATATGTAGTTATTAAGTAGAAAACATGTTTGGAAAATTTTTCCGTCACTCCAAAAAAGGACATGACTACAAATAGTAATGTATCTACGTATCAATATCGGCTAATTTGTACACATTGATATCAAAAAAGTATGGTGACTTAAAAGAAAAGCAATCTGTTTTCTCTAAATGACTTTTCATTAGTTTTGCTGTGTAACCATTGATTTAAAAAATATATGGGAAGTTTTCACGCAAAATCGATCAAAGGCTCTCGCCAAAATTTGTAGACATTTAATAAATGATTTTGGGCGTAGAAAAATTAGTTTTTTCAAGTACTTTAAGATGTTATGTGGCAGAACTCGAAAATCCACCATGGCGGCCCAATATGGCGCTTGGAAGTGTAAAAAACCAGGATTCATCCAATAAACTCCATTCAGTAAACATACAGGGTGTCCCGAAATTCATACAACAAAATTTGGTCACAGATTCTTAGGACAAATTTCTTCGAAAACCACTAATTTATACAGGGCATTCACAAAATTGGAAAAACCAAAATTGCCTCAAGAGTAAAACGACCTTATTTTAAGTACTACAAAATATTATTAATAAAAGTTGTTTCTAAAACTAAGGAAAGATCAAATATCAAATATCGACAAATTTGAATGAACTTGGCTGTAATTAAGAAACGCTACCGACTTTTTTGTCTGCCATGCCCTTTTGTGGTCAAATTGTATTCCTAAAGCCGAATTTCATAGTCTGCAGGTGGTACAAATCAAGGAGTTTTTGAAAAAAAAAAACAAATTTGAGTAGCCGCCTCCGGCCAAACGCTGCCGGTTTGCAACGGCAGACGTAGCGATATTTGTTCACTTTAAACCATATTTCAACATTAATGTGCTTATCCTTTGGTACAAATGATGGCAAAAAAATTACGCCAGCGTTTAGGCTATTAGGAATCTGTGGATGCTGTATGACCACTGTTTTCTGAGACGCCCTCTATATAAAATTTTGAAATTCTCACATATTATAGTGAAATATTAAAGAAGAAATTTAAATAGAAGGTTAGAATGCAGTATTAATGAAATCAATTTATGCTATAAAATTCAGTTAAAATTTGCATAAATAAAATGCCACAAATTAAATATTAAGAAAACAGTGTTTATTTGTTAAATAGAATTAAGCGTTTTTCCACATTTAATCTAAGTATAACTGCAAATAGATAATCTTATTTGTAGTTAAAAAATGTATATTAATGTAAATCTTATTACCTTCCATTGTCCCTTCCAACTCCCCACACTCTTATTGTATGAATCGGTTGGGTATTTAATACAGTTAAATTTTCTGGATCAAATAACTTTAAAGCTCCTTCATCTAAATCCATAAATAAATCTTTACCCTGAAACAAAAATACCAAAATAACAATAAGTCACACTAAAGAATATAACTTACATCGCCCCACCTTCCCACAACATCCAACAAATCATTTTTTCCTAAAGATAGATCAACTATGCACTTATTAACAGCTTTACTACTTCTTTCTGGAGTTAAATCCTCTTCAGAAATTTCAACCCATCCAAGCGATCTAACCGCGAATCTTATTGGACGTTCTTTAACTTCTATATCAGGTTTTGAAGGATAACTTCTTCGCCTACAAAATGTAGCATTCTGTTTCATATTTATTCAGTAGGTACAAAAGAAAAACTAATTACCCACACATAATTTTTACGTTAACTTTGCAATATAGTGAATGAATATTATCTATTTATTATCTATCTACATTATCTTTCTCAGTACAAGTGCAAGTACAAATTCTCAGTGAAATTGAAAAAAGAACACATTCTCATGGCAAATTTTGCCTTCTATCGAATGGCATAATCAATTATCATATTTAACTTTTTGTCTCTCTAGGACTATCATCAACTTCATTTTTAAATATGACCTTGGAAATTGTATTACATTTATTGCAACTCTTCATGACCCCCAATATAGTACTGCCTCAGACCGAACCGATACAGACGTTTTGTCTCTAAAAGTTCATCTTCAATGTATTCGTTCCAAATGCGGAATGCAAAATTGCGACAAAAACTTATAATCCCAATAAAACGTGCTATTTTTTCTCCAACCGAAATCCCCCATTTAATTATATTTTCAAACATTCGTCGCCATATTGCTGAGTTCATTTGTGATTGTTTGTAGTTCAATTTGTGGAAAACTCTGTAAAAATGGAATTTAATGAAGATTTAGGTGTACTTGAGGAAATACTGGAGAGTACGAAAGAGGTTTCTTTCATTTGTCTCCCAAAGAAATCTCGAGAAACTTATGAATGTGTCTTAGTGTGAATGTTTTATGGATCTGTGCAAAAAAAACATTAAGGTGTATTCAGAATATGTATTAATGGCGTATATCTCAAACTTAGCAAATAAAATGAAGCCGTCAACGCTTTAGTAACAATATTCAATGTTGCGGTGAACGTTGAATATAAAGAAGATCAAATATATAAATATATAAGCAAATATTCAAAGGTATGTGCTTTTCTTAAGACAAAATAAGCGATATGTAACGAAAAAATCGCAAGTACTTACAAAGATACAAGTACATATATTTGATGATTAAAAATAAAAGAATGAAATTTTTAAAAAGGTTAGGTCGTCCTAACATTGGGGGTTGCAGGCACATGCCGTTCTGATGAATTAATCAATTTAACAATTGATAATGTTAAAGATCTGAAATCCGCCTTAATTATAAAAATTCCCAATACCAAAACCAAGAGACCACATTCTTTTACTGTGCTGGGAGACAATTATTTAAGTTTTTATCGAAAATATGTTGTTTTACGTCCACCCAGATTGGTAGAACATAGATTATTTCTTAATTATGTTAATGGAAAGTGTCACTGAATGGTGGTCTGTATTCATAAAATCAGTGCCGTCTCGCAAGAAGTGGCAAAATTTTTGAAGCTGGACAACTGGAAAGAGGACAGACATTACGACAAACGTCTGCTACCGTTTTAGTTGACCTGACTTGTCCTAAATGACACGGAGGATGGAGATCGAGCATTGTGGCGGAAGGCTACATTGAAGACTCACTTTTGAATAAAGAAAATATTTCGAAAAGAATACTGAAAGTTGAAAGTGGTAATGATAAACCATTTCTAGCTTATTTCTAAAATTTCAAAAAATACTTTACAACATATTAGACATAGTACTTTCTGCTTCTATTCTAATTCGAATTAAACTAATTATCTATCATTATAAATCACATTTTTGAAATTACTTCATAAAAATGCAAGCGTAGTTAAGTTTGAACACCTTCGAAATATTCCTTCTTCATATACACTACCTAATTGTCAGTTACGATTCAGATACCGATAATAAAAGAAAAATTTAAGGTCGAATAAAAATACATACCTTCACCAGTGGTTAGTATATCAAAATTATAAATTATGTGGATAATACAAGTGTTTCTAAGAGGATATGCATGTGACAATCATGTAAAACAGTCAATAAATACCTGTTAAAATATAACTTATCAGATATATTCAAACTTGTGAATGTAAAATTGAATGAATTTTTTCAAAGATAGTCATACTTAAGCAAGACATAGAACATGAAGTTTCAAGAATGCATGGAAACAATAAATGTCTCAAAACAGCGCGTTCATCTTTCATTTAAGCAAGTTTGCTTAAATTGACACCATTTGGGTTCTAGATTATACCCTTGATGTAACATTCGTTAAGGTGACACAGAATGCTGAATGTGATGGTACGAAATAACAGTTTGAAAACATTTGTTATTTAAACTTCACCTTTGTATTTTTTGAATATGTAAGGAAATAATATACAGGAATTTCCACCTTATTGACTACCACATAACTCTTTAGTTCGTGTATCTTGGGTTATTCAATTTTTATTTTCTAATGGAATTTTTTTCTTTTTATTATGCATAAAATTGCTTTTCAAAAGATAGGATTCTGCAATTCTCGAATTCCTTGCATTTTTAGCACCTCCAGTGTTAAAAAGATATGTCTATTCTAATCGAAATCCATAGGAAATATCAAAATTTCATAAGAGTCAGAAATTGTTGGAAAGTTAGGTACCTAGGAAATCCTATAACCTAATGTACTCCTACGCATGAATATAATAATACAAAGCTAATATAAAGTTATGTAACACATTCATTATGGAAGTAACTCACTTTAATGCCGTGTCTTCTTTCCTTTTTTTATCATCACTTTCCAAATCTAAAGCAGAACTAGTACTACTCCTTGTTACTGATATGCTGTTTTCAAATGAAGAAATGAAGTCACTCTCTTTTATACTACATTTTGATTCAGACTTTTCCATTTTCTGATCTTCTGTGCATGGAATTTCTCTTTGTATTGTTCCACTTTTTATATGCCAGTAATATGGACCATCATTATCTACAAAATATTTTATAATTTTTTTTTTATTCACGAAGAAACCGCAGAAGAGGAACATAATTAGAGAATCGCATACTAAGAAAGTGTATAACAAATTCCAAGACATTTATAATATCCAATCAGTTTATACTTAAGAGCATTGGATAGTATTAAGGTGAACAAGCAGTTCAAAAGTTAGAAAAATTGAAACCTTAGAAGAGATAATATTTTAAAAAACTGTTGACTGGACTGAAGTTCCTCTGAAACTAAGTTTTTGAAGAAGAGAGCGATATGTCTCTCGAAACGTCAAGAGTTGTAAATCGACGACTTGGCAACCAGCCCGAAAATCATTCAACCATCATTAAAAAATGTTTTTCCTAATTTATAATAAAGAGTCACAACAATTCCTACTATCAATACAGTAATAGGTTTTAATATCTTAAGTTATAACTTAAGAAGTTTAAACTTTTCAGTTTCTGTTTGCAAAATAGCCTCAATTATGTTAATTAATGTGATCCGGATATACCAGGTAAGAAGAGATAGCTTTTTCTGTTTAAATTAGATGCACAAAATTCAGAAAGTGAAAATGACAATGTAGAATTATAATCAAGTGTAACGGTATCATCAGTCCCGGTGAAGCAATTGCAGAGTCATCAATGAATGTGCTGGCAGTGAAGAATGGCGAAACATTTGGAACCAATGGATGCGACCAGTTCCAAAGGCCACTACAGAACGTGCCCGAGGAGCGGTTTTGTCCGTAGCCGCTTTAGAACCAACAAACACCGAAATAAACATCAGGGCGGGCCCAGGGGTTCTAATACCAGATCTTCCCCACAGTACCTAGCCCGAGAACAACAACAAGATGAAGGCCTAAACCTGTGCAATAATACGAATTGCACAATAAATATTAATAATTAGTTAGTTAATTTTCAATATTCTTTAAATGTTTTTTTATTCCTATAACTGTTATGAAAATAAAAATGTTCATTATACATCCAGAAACAGATTTTCCGTGCTTGCATGACTTCGGCTTCGTCTCAAACGAGAATTTGTTACACGTGCACGGAAAAATCCTTATTTCCAAATTCAATAATGAAATATACTATTACTTTCAACACTGAATTTAGAAAATTCCTCGTATAATCGAAAAGATAAAAGTTTTCAATTAAAGTATTTACATATATGTACCTATATGTAAAAACAATTATTCTTTCTTGGCAGTACTATTTATCATTAACGTTAGCTGTATTCATCATCAGTAGGTACTCACCCTCATGTTTTTCCCATCCTGGAGGTAATTCATTATGATTGCTCCATTCTTTTTCTGAATTTATTGATTTTCTTTGGTCTGTAATCGTTTTATCACATTTTTTCATAGGAATAGCATATAAATCATCTGTAATATTTCCAATTATGTGTTTCACTTCAGTATTTTCGTCTTTGTTGCTTACATCTTTTGTCTCACAAATACTAAAATCGAAAAATGTATATTCAATAATCACCCTTTGAAATTAATAGTTATTGTGGGAAACAACTACTTTGCAGATTAATGCCCTGATCAGCACTGAATTACACTCAAAAAGTATTTATTAAATTGCGAGAGACCTGAGCCTTATTCTTTCGATATGGAAAAAAGGGGAAGTCAAAAAACAAAGTGTACGTTCGGAAGTTTCGGAATGAATGGTATTCGGAGTATAAGTGGTTGTGTAGAAGTGTTTATTTAAAAAAACTCTTCTGGTATGCCATGTTTAATTGTAAGTGTAAAGTCGGGCGTGTGGAATAAGGAGGGATTTAACAATTTAGGGAATGTCGCGCGAGGCTGTCGTAACATACGTGATTGTACGGTGTGGGTTAATGTTCGCAAAAGTTCACAAGCCGAACTAATATTTCTATTTTTTATAAAATCTAAATGAAAATCCTTCTCTCGAACGTCAGCTATTCGGTAATATGGCAAATGCAACTAAAAATTTCCATATTCATTTAAGGCTGTTTGACCTTAAAAATTTTCGCCTGTGGCTGGCACTTTTTTTTTCTTTTTAGACAATCAATGAATATGCTTCACATATTCTCAATGTCACGAGCCACCACTGTGAAAAAATGAATTTATTCCTTTCATTTCCACCATATTGTATAGAAGAAACAAAGAAACAATATCACTGAAAGGCAATAGGTCAATTGGTTTTGTAGAATGATGATATTAAAAAACTGACGCCAAGTTGGCAAATTGCAAATTTACATCTTTTTTCACATTTTTTACTGTTCACAAAAATTTAGATTACCTATTGCAATATTAGTTATTTTATGTTGTAGGCAATTAAATTACCTACAATTTCAGGTACCTAGAGTAATTTTTCACTAATTTGTGAACTGTAAAATAAAAGTTGCACGAGGAAAGATCAGTTTTCGAAAATTATGCATTATTATTGCAAAAAGCGATGGGTGTTGATAAAATTTTTGGAAGAGACAATGAATCCAATGACCAATATGTGTGCCAAACAGATTTTTTCTTAAATTTTTGGTCAAGAAAGTAGTCTTTGTGGCCTTAGAAATTATTCCCTAAAAAATAGTATAGGTTCCATTCTTTATTGTTAACTGCCTACCGAACCGGACAAGTGAGCGACTAGCTTTACTGTTTGATTGTTTTAAAGACTTGCCAAATTCAGGTTATTTTGTTATAGGTACACTTTCATAGTTCATAGGATAAATTATGTTATGTTTTATGTTACTTTTTAGAATAAAGTCTCTCTGATAAATATATTTCCACAGCTGACTAGAATATTTGGATGTTATTAGTAAAATATTTTTATTTCTGTAAAAAGATGTTGGTTACCTACAATAATATTTATACATACTTTTCCCAAACAGTTGCACTTTCATTAATATCCATTTGAGAAAGAGTATTTCCATTCCATTCATTATCCCTACAACAAACACTATATACAGTACTATGCTACAACACCAAATTATTTTTCTTATACCGATTTTGTTTTTACTAATCAAGGCTTGCTGTTTTTTTTTCTTTTTTGAGAGGGAAAGGGAGGGGGTAGCGATGGTGAACTAAAATTCAAGAAATCGTGAGGACGTTTTTGACTGCCTCTACACAAACATAGTCTTTAGGAAAGTACAGTTTGCAGTTTCAACATGAAATATTATTATTATTAGCTGATTATAGACATGTACTTTAAAACCTAAAGTTTTAACGCTATGTTTTAAATACCGTTGTAACAGAATCACAAGTCTTAAATTTTTTATTCCAGTCCATTCCCCAAATGGAAAACATTGTTTATGGGCAAATAACGGTTTTGAATGGCGTGCTGAAGCGGTTTAATTCCAATTTTTGTGTTTCGCATGCATTTAAGTTATATTCACATAATTATATTGCGGATTAGAACAGCAAACGGTCTAATTAACAACCAGTGTTAGAGATAAATTATACTAATCATTTGCTTTAAAAACAACACAAAATTAAACGATCTGATACATTATTAACTCTAGGAAATTAATCTGATTGAACACTAGGATAAGACATGTCAATTTTTAATTTGATTGGTCAACTTTGTTTTTTTTTTCTTTACTATCAACAAGACGGACACCCAGCGCATTCAACGCGAATCATTCGAGAATGGCTAGATGGTCAATTTCCTGGGCGGTGGATTGAGCAAAATGGCCCAATTCATTGGCCACCTAGAAGTCCTGATTTAACTCTAATGGACTTTTATTTATGATTATGTTTATCTCAAGCAGAAAGTCTATGGGTCCCCGTTGAATAACCATTTATTTGAATTGAAACGAAGAATAATTAAGATAATAATTAATAAGATTAAGATACAATTAATGACATCCCCATTCAAGAAATTCAAAACGCCTACACAGAATTTACCAAGCGCGCTGAGCGATGTGTAATGGTTGGTGGTAGCATATTTGAATAACCATTATATTATTTGTTTATGTTTATTATATTAGTTACGTTTTTTTCTAATAAATAATTAGGAATTTGCACTGTGCTTGTGAAAAATTAAAAAAACCGAAGTTCGCCGATCAAATTGAAAATTGACAATCTGTCATAACTTTTAGTTCTCAATAACTTTTCGTAAGAAAATATTTCTGATATTTTTAAAAATAAAGGTACTTTACTCTTGACAATTTTTGAAAATTCATCGTAAAAACACCCTGTACATTAATTAATTAGACTAATTTTTTCAACTTCCAAGTTTAAGGCCTAGCAGAGATGGTGCTCACAAGCTCAAATTTCAACTCGAAAAATTTTTGTCATTTACACCCCACATGCACTCGATCAGTGAAGATACTGTAAATGGTTACTTTTCTTACTGAATTTTCGGATTTATTATATATTTTTCACTATCTGCACATAAGTTCCTATATTTTTCTTAAAAAACTTTATTTAGGGATGAATCTTATATCAAAATTCTTAAATTATTTCTCATAAGTGAATTTGCTGTTTTTTCTTTTGTAGAATTTTGCCATTGGGGTATTTGTTATTGGTAAAACCAAGATATCTCAAAATGGCATTAATAAAAAGGTCTGTGCCTTACTCATTTAAGCATAGCATATCTTCGGATGACTTATATTTCAGATAAATAAATGTAAAATGGAATCTATATACATACGTACCTATTATCTACATTATTTGAAGAATCAGTTTCTGTGAATGGTCCTGTATTTACATCTACTCCCATAGAGCCAATGTCTAAGGCAGCATATACTTTTCGACCAGTAGTACCCATTACAGGTACTTTTACGCCTTGGCCCATATTATAAATACCATCTATATCTTGATATAAATCGTCAAATATACTTTCTGTATTTGAATTTAATGCGTCATCCAATCTATCTGATGGACCTATGTGATAATTCGGATTTTCGTAACTTAATAACCCATTCTCTAAAAAAAAGAACATTATGAGTTATTGTTATTAGATAAATAACTTAAATCATAAATGTTGATGTAAAAAAATAAATAAGTATTCACTAGTACTTAATAATAATATTTTTTATAATATTATATAATATATTTTTAAAATTTATCTTTCATAAATATATATGCTAAAAAATGCTAGTTGCAGTAAATGCTTATTTAATTGAACAAATAGACAGGCTAACAAAATTTGGCCGACCTTCTAACCTAGAAACCAGAATGTACTTTTCCGAAGGATTTTGCTGTGCTGAATTCGAATCCGAGGTCCAAATTTCTCAATTGGCTCTGGTGTTCAAGGTGAGATATCCTAACCTAAAAGTGCCAAAATCGCGATTTTTGACAACCATTTGAGGTTATGTTACATGGACAGGTCATTCTTTTTTTTTTTTTTGTTAAAACCATTAATAGGGTCTTAAAATACTATACTTACTCTTTAAAACGCACTTGGATTTATTCTGATATCATTTTTCGTCCATGAGAAATCGCATGTTGAAATTTAGTAGTGTGTCTTATTTCTCAATTTTTTTATATACCTACTGACAACACACCACCACAAACCTAAACTCAACGGCAGCCGGAAGTGGTGATCATACATGTTTTTGGGGGTCACTGAACATGAATCTGAGCTCAAAAATACTCTATCACGTCAAATTTTGCAATAAACTTAAAAAAATTTCTAAAAATTCCATATATGGTCTATATTTTACGCATTATTTCAATCTGGAAATACATATACAAGCAAAAGAGACTAATACGCTCAAATTCCGAACTCATAAACCCTAAGCCCTAAAACCCTAAGTCCATAAATCCATAAACCTATAAAAACAAACCCTAATCCATAAACTCTAAAAATCGAGAAATAAGTCAAACTACTTTTCAACATGCGATTTCTCAAAGACGAAAAATGATATTGTCGTATTCCACCCTTCGAGCGAGCTTCAGAATTTCAGAACACCCAGTATATTCATAGAAGTAGTCTTGTACCTACGGATATGCCGGAGACTGTTGAATTGGGAAGGAGCAGTCAAATTCGCCTACCTTTCCAATCCAAACCGAAAACCCGCCACGGTTGCGAAACTAATCGCCGTCGGCCTTGAAAATCAAAAAAGCCTCCACGGTATCATTTCAGACATCGTATTCGATACCCCCCCCCCCTGATCGCTAACTTTTTCTGTTTCAGAGACCGCCAGGATCAAGAAACGAAGACAACGACACACACACACATATACCCCCCCTACCTTCCTTACCACTCCCTTCCCGCGCAAGCCTAAGGGCCACCTTAGCAAAGCGCATCCCAGGCTGCATAGCCGCACTACCCTACCCAACCATACCACACATAAATATGACACTACCCCCGGGGTTTACACAGACGAGCCGGCGAAGCAAGAAGAGCGCCAGAAGAAAGGGCCCTAGCCGGCGGGGCCCAGCCAGGACAAAAGGAGGTCCCACAAAGCGCCTACACCGGCCGCATTTGCGGTCGGGGTAGACGACGGATGGGGCCCACCTACGAAGGCTGTCCAGGCCTACACGAGATGAGGCAGGATAAAGAGGGATAATCCCCCTCGATCCCAAATCATTGAGGCCAATTTCTAGCCATAG